TTTCATCCTGGTTTTCGTTCGCCGATGAAACCAAAATGAAATAATGCAAGTCGGATTAAACTATCGGGCGCTGTTTGAAATTTCCCTCCGAATTAACGCGCGTATGTCGTTCAATGGATATAAGGAAGTCGCCGAAACGAGCCGCGTTATTATTCCATAATCCAGGTTTAACAATGCGTAGGCGTGCGTCGGAGGCGGAAACGTAACGCGCCTGTTTGTTGATCGAAGGGACCCCACCGGTGGAAAGAATGCATTTTGGGAGGTGAGGTAAGTTCGGAACGGCTGCACGCCTGGCTATCCACTGGTCACACTGTAAAACCAGCTGTCTTTTACGTTTCGATCGAACGTTTGCTGACCGTTAACCGTGAAAGAATTGGAAACACGGTTAAAAATACTGTCCGATCAATCATGTAATCTTCTTGCATCTGTGCGTCTTTTTTTTTTACTTTTTTATGCTATGTACTTTTTAAAAATTTTAGATATTTTTAAATTTTGTATATATCTTTCTATATTGAAATTTAAATAACACGCGACCATATCGAAGAGCGCTATAACCGGTGAGGTCAGTCGTCGCGGATAAGAGTGGTACGATTACACGCACGGTAAAGAGAAAGAGGAAACTGCCATTACGAGATCGAGAGGATTATCGTGGTACGAATTGTTCTCTGTATATACGGACGACAGAAATAAACGACATCACATCGTGGACACTCGAATCGTGTCCAACTTCTATTCGACTCTTATATATGGCGATAACGAAATTTTGATTCTCAGTTTCTTCAGCTGCAAGGCACGAGGTTGAAACATCATTTCGGAAAGGAACTTTACGTTTCCGACATCGTTGGGGCAACGTTTGCTATTTCTTGTAAACGACTAGACTATTTAAGATCTTACTGTTTAAATAGTTTAGATAGATAATCAGAGAGGCGCATACAGTTTTAATCGTTTAAAATTTAAAGAAACGGGTATCGTACAGTCGAATATCTCTCGAGTGGTCGTTTTGTCCCTTCCGAAAACGGGAAGAGATCGATTGGCGTATATTTGATATCCGCGGTTTGCGAAACGTTATATCGATATATTTATTTTAATTCTATGTAATGCGTTGGCTGTGTATACGATTGTACTTTTTGTTGCGGGTTATACTGTGTCGACCCTGAGTTGATTGGCTTTCACTGCTCGTTGATACTTAAATATCGTAACCGTAGATTTAATCATGCTTGCCTCACAGTTACCGTAATTACGCTTCTTTCGTCCTCCTTTTTCGTCCTTACCTCTTTTTCCTCACGTTATTCATCATATTTTAACGCGTCTACATATAAATACTTCTATAAATCTTCTTCCCTACCTTTCAACTTTGCTTATACATATATGTATATATATATATATATTTATATATAAAATATTGACTAGCACGATCGCGAAAAATGAAAAACCACCGGTATATCGATACAGTTATGTATTAACGACGCCCGAACATCGAGATGGCGTCGTGTAATTCTTTCGTTTCCTTCTCTATCTTGTATCGCTCGTAATTGCTGGACTTGAGCAAAAAGCAAAATTGCGGCATTACGAGAATAATTAAAACGAACAAAGGAGGCTGTTGTTCGAAAGATTAGACACGATCTAGTATACTCTCTTCGGAGGTCGGTCACATTTAAAATAGGAACTTTTTTCGATCACACGTTCGTGTCAGTTATACAATTATATTATGTACAATAAAACGTTCCCGAATTGGAACAGTATAACAACGTGGCTTTCAAACGCGGGTTCCCTTTTCTCATTCTGTTCTTTGAAAGAAACAGAATCCGGGAATTTTGATAAATACTCTGTACATATGTGTGCGATATACGTCGTGACAAGAGTCATCGAACAAGCGAAAAAAATAGGCCAATACGCGGACGCATTTTTTAGATCCTCGTTCACTGCACGAGAAAAGCGTAGGATGAAAATTCGTCGGCAAATACCCAGGAAATATATGTAGCGAATCGTTTTCACCAAGATAGTACGCGTACGCTAAACGATGAATGAGTTGAACCCTCGGCGAGCCACGTATATGAAAAATATATAAACTTTCGCTAACTATTTTCTTACACTTTACGTAGGAACTGATAACACGTGCTCAAATCGCAGACGTAGAAACAAGTTGTAAAATCCATAGGAGTAGATGCGAAGAAGGAAGAGTTTCAAGCAGGACTGAGGGTGAAGGATGCAGTGAGCGCGTTGTTGATTCGCGATTTAACCGGCAGATAGACCAAAGCCGGCGCGAATCGTTTCTCCGAGCTGGATTCCTCTCCAGCTTGCATCGTGTCCTGTTCCTCGATTAAAAATGGTTGCATGATCGTTTTGTCAGGATTGGAATTCATATCCTGTGGCGTTGCGTAGCAAGCTGGTACTTTATGTTTGTTGGCAACGTCTTTCAAAGTTCTGCTAAGCTCGGCGAGCACGCTATCGGTAGGATCGCTGATCGTTTTGTGATCTTTTCTCACGTGCTTCTTAATTCTGTTTAAATTGGTCGTCGCGTAACCGCACTGTGCGCACTTATATACACCATGAGGAGTAACTTGGACCGCTGTTTCGTCCTGTTGTTTGTTTCTCATCGGTTCGGGAATATTTTGATTGGTGGTAACTTGTGGACTGTTCCTCGTATGCTCCTCCTTCGCTTCCAGATCGAGTTTCTCTTTGGCCTCGTTCAATTTCTCCGCGTCTAGACTTAAATTATTAAGCACAGAGGGTTGAAAATGAGGCAGCAACGTGGGAAATTGGTGCGATGTGAGGAGATGCTGATGCAACATTTCCGGCTGATGGAAACCTTGGGAGCAAATCGGACATTGAAGCGATTTCTCTCCTTCGTTGTCACGGGAATTCACGTGAGACCTCTCGTGCAGGAAGAGAAACGGTAACACGGTGGTCGTGAAATTGCAATAGGAACAGCGATAGCTTTTCAACTGTTGATCTTCGGAGGATGACCCCAGTAAATTAGACAGAACTTGATTACCCAAACCAGTGTAGTCGGCAGACTTGATTTGCTGTGAGATTTCAAATCCATTCGGTATCTTCAAATTCGAGCTCTGTTGAGGGTTCTTCGATATTACATTCGCTGTTCTATTGCCCGATTTCGGCGTTGTTTGATATTGTTGCTCCATCTCGCGCCATTTATCGATGCCTGTTTTCCCATGATCGCTCATCAGATGAGCCTTTAACCACTTTATACTACGGAACCTTCTGCTACAGATTGGACAAACCTCTGTAAAGTGGGTGAAATATCTGTGACTCAGATCACCGAGTTGCTCCGGCTTCAAAGCAGCATCGTCCGCGTTTGATGCCTCGTGGGTCTCTTGCTTTACCGAACTGGGAGTATTTTCGTCGACTATGCCATGAGTGTTGTGCTTGTGAACGCGTAAAAAGTATTTGCTGCACAGCTCTTTGTTACAAATGTTGCATATCACGCCACCGATCTGGGCTCCATTTTCAATCTCAATACCGTGCATTCTTTGCATATGCGTCTTCATGAAGTACTTATTGCATAATTCCTTGTTGCATATCTCGCAATAGCTCGACGTTGGCGTCATCGATGTTACCTTTCTCTCGGTTGGAGTTTGGCTGGTCGAATTCGAATTGGTCGTTGTCGCTGTGGTTGTAGGAGTTTGAGGAATGGTATTCGAAACCGCTGGTTGATGTTCGTCGGCGATATGTTTCCTGAGAGCGTCCTGACTCGCGTAATCTTTTCCACATAGGGCGCAGAACGCTGAGGTTGTAGTTAAGGGTGACTTTTCTTGCGGCGAGGATGTTGAATCTTCTTGGATGGCGCCGTGTTCCGTTATCATATGAATATGCAACGTTGCTCTGGTCTCGCATTCTTTTCCGCACACGTTGCACGATAATCCCTTGGTAGGCTTGAGTCCGTTCAGTTGCAACAGCATCGTCTGCAATTTTTGAAGATCCTCCGAGATCGAATCGTTCCGTTGATCGGATATATCTAGCTCGCACTCTTGCCTAGGCGATTGTTGTTCCTCGCTCTCGTGCATCTTCCGACAGTGAGCTTGATACAGGTCAATCGTCTGGAAACGTATACCACATAGCTTGCACTCGTAATCGTCGACGACTCGATCGTTCGATTCCGTGCTACCAGGATTCTCCGTCACGATCAGATTTAACGGACTGGTCTGCACTTGATGCCAACTGGCCGCTGTCCCTGGATTGCTAGGCGATCTTTCGTTGTCCTGAACGATGATACCGTGCCTCTTCATTTTATGAGTCCGTAGGAAGTACTTATTACAGTACTCTTTACAACATATCTCGCAAAACGCTTCTGGATTTATAACCCCTAAACGACGAAGTCGATCGGCGCTGAAACCAGACTCTCGTGCCTGTTGAATCGATTGAGGCGATAGATGTCTGGGTGCTGGTACGAACGTTGCATCCTCTTGTTCTATCCCGTATTCTTGCTTAAACAACGTTTCCATACCGCCGAGACTATCCCTCGACGTATCCCTGTCCTCTTCGTTTTGCGACAAATTGATCTGAGACTCTTGCGACTGATCCAATAATTCAACGTGCATCTTTTGCTTGTGTTTACGCATCGATTCCTCGTTTTTGAAACGTTTCTGACAGAGATCACACGCGACGGTCGGTGTAGGTGGTGTCGCGGGCAGTTCTAGCTTAACCATGTTACTAGGATAGTTGGTAGGGTACAATGGTCCTGGAATGCTATTGTCGACGGTGCTGGGTCCCGGTGAATCGACGTAGATACCGTGCTTGTTCGCTTTGTGTGTCTTGAGGAAATACTTGTTGCAGAACTCTTTATTGCACAGATCACAGTACGCGTCCGGATTAAAGATCCTGACCGGCGTTGGTCCCAACGAGGGCCTGGCGATAGAACCGGAGTCCGTCAATGGGAACGCGGGCATAGGTAAATACTGCGCCAAGGCGCCAGGAAAGCCAGAAAGGATTTGCAAGTGGTTGGGTAACGGTGGAATTTGACTCGCTGGCCCGGGCCAGGATTCTTCGTTCTGCGTCTGCATTTGTGCTTGCGATTGCACGTGTTGCCCGGTGGCTAGCCAGTTTATCGCGAAGTTTTTTACGCTAAGCAAATTAACGGGATTCTCGGATTGGTCCTGTTGCTGAGACGGTTCTTGTTTGATCACGGAATTCGGAGATCTACTTTGACTTTGTTCCGAAATCTGATTCGCGGAACCGTGCTCATTGTCGAGGTGAACGTTCAACGTTTCCTTGCTATCGAAAAACTGACTACAATATTTGCAACGGAATTCGTTATTCAGGTTCTCGTCTCTTATCGATGATTGACTCGGTATGGGTGATTGCGACGACAGCTTACCTTCGCTGTCCTCGTCCTCTTCCTCGTCCTCGTTCGATTCTTCGTGCACACCGGGCATTGACGTCGAGGAGAATCTCACGGGCGTCGTTTGTTTTCGTCTCTTCTTCGGCCCTGTTGAATCCGCGTCGAAACGAAGACGCTTCCTCGCGTCGCGTTCTCCGCAACTCGATCCGTCGCTGTCCAATTCCGTCAATTCCGATATCGTCGTCGTCTCATGCGCCATCGTCGAGGACATTTTGCTTGGTCGTGACAGGCCCAATCTCGTACCAGCTTATCGATTACTCGTCGCCCTGTTAAACAAAAATCAAACCGCCCCCCTCTCGTTGTTATTGTTATTTGCATTCACGCAGTCTTGGCAATATTGTTCAAACGTCGTCGTATTTTTCTATCGTTGAATTGGTAACACGAATAATTAAAAAATGCGAAATCGAACGAGGTCCCGCTAATATATACGGTGATATCGATGAATTCATCCATATTTCTGGTTTTATTCCGTGGGTTCGTTTCTATATGTACTATCGTGATTGCAGTTGGATGATATATATGGATGAAAATAGAATCGTCTAACGAGTGGCAGAGAAAGAAGTACACACGAGTTATAGGCCTTTACCTCGATGAGACACCCTATACGCGAATGGACACAGCTAGAAAAGGGAGACGTTTGGGGAACCTACTATATGACTCATATGTGCGCCCATACTTTAGGGCTGAATTCAGAGGATAGTACGAATATGCATTTCAGAAGCTCCGTAATTACTAATTGAAGTTGACAGACCCATGCCTCCTGTCACGAAATAATGGTCAGGTCATTGAACTGTGCCAGTTTCTGGCTAGTGGTAATGCTCGCGACGAGAGACAACATCGAAACGAGATTAGACGAAAATAAAGAGAATTAAACGATCATAGTACGAAAGTTATAGTAAGAGGAAAAAAAGGAGAAAAAATTAGAAAAGAAGAAAAAAATATGTCAAAATTAGTATTAAAATTTTCTTACCAATATAAAAATGGATTCTTCGTAAAAGATTAAACGCCACCGATTGAAATCGTCCGAGAAACATCTTTCTCTAGAAACCATCCAATAAACATCGCTGAATGTAAATAAAACGGCACAGAAACAATACAATTCCATTGAGTATCACGTGGAACTTTATCGCGCATTTTTATCGGAGGAATCGCACGTAAACGGCACTTTCTTGTTGAAACTACACATAGTCACACGTTCGCGCGACGAACAATCGTTTTCGCTGTCTCTCTTTTAAAGACGTCAAGAATGCTGGAAAGACGTTATTGGCACGTGGCATCAAGGAGGGTAGGTAAACCGTGGGGTTACCTCAGGATGGTGTTGGTCAAACGAGCCCTCGAAAGAACGAGCCACTCGATATAAATTTTACGATTTCTACGGAACGTCTCGACCAAACGAGGGGTTAGGAGGAGGGTATTTTTACTCAAGGATATTCGTTCGATCGTGCTGAAACTGTTTGGAGGGATCAAATTGGACTGAAGTTAAGAGACGAGTAGACGAGGGAAACATGGTGAATTCATGAAAAGAGGCAAAAGGAACAGCTGCCCATGCTACTACGTATGCTCTCGATAGGAAGATCTTTAAAGATCTCGAAGAGGTGTTAATCTATGGTGTTCGCCACGCTTACGCCTCTGTGAACTCTCTCAGATTACTGTTAGGTGCAGACACGGTGCCCTATGAAGGGGATGTTACATCGTTCTCGTCCCTACCACCTTCAGAGAACTGTCACACAAATATCCCCCACCATTCTAACGAAGCATCGTTTGCTACATTCCCCAAACAGATGATTTTCGAACTGTTTCGATCGATTCCGCTCCGATTCGCGGATCAAAAGCCAATCACGTTCCATCGAAGAATTCGACGATTCAATAAAAAGGTGCTTTACGCTTATGTCATTATCCTGAAGATTTCGCTTTAATCTTTGAGTTACGTTTACGTGTAATAGGATGTGATTTATTCTTTGTCGCGTCTGAATCTTTTTACATCTAATAATTTGATATTCTTATCTTTTAATTTGTGATCTTCAAAATTGTATTTTATATTTATTACGGTAATACAATTACAGTAATTCAGGAATAATAAATATTATTTGCGATCGTCATCTCTAGGGTTGATGGTAAAAGTTCAGATACATATATCGAACCTTCGAATCGACTACGACGTAGGATCGTTGTTCGAAATTTGGGCGGCCGCCTGTCAGCCTACAGAAATTGGATTACGCGGGGCTTGAAAAACAAGCTGAGATAGAGAAGCGGAGGGTTGCGAAGCAGAACCCGCATTTCTGCGTAACATTTGACGGATTTTCGAAAAATACGCGTAAATACGCCCGTATGGTACGTCGGTGCCCCACTATATCGTGGAAAAGCCTTTGCACCGTTTCTAGCCAAAATTGGATGAATGACATCGAACGAACGGGAAGGTTAGGGGAACGAGGGGAATTTCATAGTTCTCGAAAGGGTGTTGAGAAAAACATGTTGTTAAAGAGTGGAAAGCACAAAAAGGGGAGAGAAGGAAATAACAATCGCGCGTTTTTGATACGAAGGGGCAACTAGTGAAAGAGGTATTATCGTGGATGCACGTATTCTGCATATGCCTTTCTTCTGTTGCGATTCGCTGAAATCGTTTCATAGCGTTGTTGCGTGGGCGTGTTACACGCGGTAAACAACGTTTTAACTTGACAGAATAACGATGCTGCGACAACATATGCCGCGTGTAGCGTACGCGGATGCGTGGTAGTCGCAGCTGACTCTTTACCGACTCGTGAAACGATGGTACGATAAATTATGCGTTTTCGGTGAGGGTTTGCACGGTAATTAATATTGAATGCGATGAATCGATATGATTCGACGAAGCAGCCTATACGAGATTGTTCGGTTAGGATGCTCGATACGTCCCTTCGTATTTTATTATATCTGTTTAACCTGTTTTCATCGTAATTCGTTTATTGGAAATATACGAGTATGAAGGAAAAAAAAAATGAGCGATGTAAGTATATATGGAGATACGCGAGATAAGATTATTCTCGCGGTGATCATTGAACTTTTAAAGACAAGCCGAACATGGACGTCAATAGAAACTGGAATTTCTAGAATCGATAAGATGACGAGGAGGGTAAATTATGAAAGTATCGCGTTGGGTCGTTCGACCATCTCGATTCTCCTAGTGGAAAAAGAAAAGCTCGCGAAGTTTTTGCCTTGGTCGTCGCGTACGTGTGCCCGTTCGAACGGTAACCTGCGTGTGTGCGCGTGAGTGCGTTTATATGTGATTTCAGTAGAGGCCTATTGATCGAGCAGCGAACTTCACTGGTCCGCACACGCGCATAAGTCTGTCCGTAAACAAGACAAATATCATCGCGCCAGTACTGAAAATCTATCCACCCACCCACTCCTCTTTTCTTTAAACATCTAGCACGCTTCGTCTCTCCACTTCGACCTTCTTACGTGATTGACGTCTCTGTAATTGCGATTCACTGACATTCATCCGAACTAGTTGCATTTTGCTTCTAAACTTTCAATAAGGAAATGAATTTGTAAAGAGACACGTAGTTTCATTATACTGTTCAATGAATTACTTCAATTGCACTCATTTTAACTTTTGCAATGTATTTCGTAAAAAATTTGCTTTTTCTTCTCTTCTCAAGGATTTGCCTCCAAAAATAACAAAAAGAAAGAGTTGTTGGCGTGTTCTAAATTGAAAATACGTAAACGAAATTTAAAAATATATGGACGCGGTTGAGTAGGACATTTTCTCTTAAACGTCTCATTGCAAGTTAGAAGATAGAAGTATTGTTAAAAAAGGGTTAAACGCGTTCACGTGTTCGAGCTACATTAACTGAGTGACATGTTATATTCGTATCTGAAATAAGTATGTAAAAGGTGCGTTTCACATAAAGGTGGGGATCGCGGAAAGTTGGATCTGCGCAATGCGTGTCGTCAGATGAACCACGTGGAGTATTCGCATGCAAAAGACGTCGGCGGATATCGGACGGCCTCTTAGTCTTCGTCGAATGGGCAACGGTGTAGCGTCGTTTTTAGAAATTCCACGTTCGAAGTTACTATTTTGTTCTTTTTATTTAGACATTGATAATCTTAGTGAAGTAATCGCACGGGTTTCTACGATCCTTAAGCTGTTTCATGGATGACAAATCGCTGTAAAAATCGCGAAGGTCGAACGTAAGAATGTACACGATGAGTTGCGCACACTGTTGCACACGCGAAGTTTATTTTTCCGTGGAATAGCAGATGGAATGGGAAGAATTTTTCATCTTTGATTCTTTCGTAAAAGATAAGCAATACTCGTATCGGTGACGATAATCGGAAAAATTGCATGATAATCCATTACAGTAGCCATTCGATTTATTAAAGATACACGATTTCAAGGAAATTTAGAACGTCTTCGTTAAGTACTTACCGTAATCAGAAGCAATTTGCCCACGTAAAAGAATTCAAAATGTTCACGATTGATTGGTTTCTTGCCATTATCCATTTCTTAATTATAGTGATACGACGATGAATCCTTTTTAATAAACGAGGCACGAGCTTGCGACTGATAACGGCGACGATAACGACGATAACATCACTTTATTCACTGCGCACTGAAACACGAGAAAAACAATAGGGAACGTTTAAAGTGTTGTCTCAAAGGCGTAATCCGAGATTAAGAATTTTCAAAATAGATGAGGTGAAAAAAATGACGTTAGCGAGGAATTACGAGAGACGACGATTGCCTGCTGGTCTCTCTACTTACTATTGTTTTGGCCATCGTGCCACGATGGCGGCCATACTTGATATGAGAAAGTATCCCCCACATTGTCCACGGCCATCTACTAATTCCCCCATACACCCCCGCGCTGATTCAACCCCCATCCCCGCTACCGCCTCCATACCCTAGCTTCTAGTCCCCCCAGTGAACTCACCCCTTACTCCCTGCTACCCTCTTTCAAAGTCAGGGACGACGTCTTCTTAAGCTCTTGTTGGCTCCTTACGCCTTCTTCATCTTATTTCTTCTTGCTACAAGATTTAAGCTTTCGCTTGTAAGATCAATGTTCTTTCATAGAATTTTTCTATGACGAACGTTTCTGTTTTATCGGCATCTTGATGCGAAATTAACGTTAAGATTAGATCAACGATCCACATTGTACGCATCTTTGTGCGATATAACGTTCGCGTTATTCAGAAATTTCATTGTCATTCTCCATCGTGGAAGATGAAAAGATAAATTTCACGAATACGTAAGAAAACGGAGGGTATTTGGAGGAAGGTATCCGTCACTGAGAACTTTTCTTCGTTAAGGCACTTCCTCCTCTCTTAGACTCACGCACCTGCACACACGTGCGTTAAAAAAGGTGCCTACCCACATGATCGCGCTCACCCACAGACGCGAACATATCCGCGCGTCTCTAAGCTATCACCGTCCTCCTCGCGACTCAGCACGAGCAGTCTTTTACCCCAGTTCACAGTCCTTCCTGCACCCCGAAGGTGGGCTTGGTGAGGGTAAAGGGTCCGAAAGAGAAGGGAGACGAAAGGGAAGAAAAGGGAAGAAAGCGAAGCGGAAAGAGAAAGTGAAGGAAAGCGGCGAAGGGCGAGGGGAAAGAGAAGGCCGCGTGGGGTGGCATTTTTACTGGTCACTCGGAATTCGGTTCTCCCACTACGCGGAATCAGATGACTCTCCCTTCAACCCCTCTGAACTTTCCATCTGCCTCGACCCTGTGTCACCCCACTTCAAGCTCCAACCCAGCGACTACCCTCACGCAGCAAATTAGTTTAGCCTCACGGACAAGTCCGGCTGGGTACGAGCCTCCTCTTAGGAGTTTCCTTCCATTCCACGGGAAATGACGCGCAGAATCTCGTGAGAGACACTCGCACCTACACGAGAGATATTTTTTCGAAAAGTACTCAAGGGAGCTCGTTCGATGACGAGCTGATGTTTTTTCTCCATTCTTCCCGCACTGCTGTCTCGATATTTTATTGCTGGATTTCAAAAACGAGAATTACGCTCTGAAAGAAAACGAACAAGAGCCATTAGTTCTATTTGTAAATACATATTTCTAACTAATCAAATATTTATGCGATTTTTATTCGTTCTATCTTACGTTGAAGCTACACAAAACGTTACGTTAGTTTTAAAGAGCGATCAAAAGGAAAGTTTTTAAAGAAAAGGACAATATTCATTAGCTTTATTGCTAAATATTGGCTTGGTAACTAAGTGATTGCGGATTTTGTCAATACCATCTAATGTCAACACAAGTTGCCAATATGTATCTCCAATGAGTAAAATCAGTACGCGATTTCTATTTCTTCTGTTCTACGTTAATGTTACATAAAACGTTACGTTCGTTTTGAAAAGACGATCAAAAATAGAGCTCAACAAGTGTAACGCTTGTATGATAATCCATCACACGCAGTTGGGCTAGATGCGAATAATTTATTGAAACAAGTTGCACTTATCGTGGGTTATAAACATTCATGCGCGCATCGCGTTTGACCACGCGCATCCTTTCCTCTTCCTGAGTGAAACTACTCTGTCGGACACACGATTTACCTTCCAGTATGACCGGGTGCCGTTTTCCTCACAATTTAATCGTGCCCCATCGCGTTCATGGCACGTGTCTAATTGCGGCGCACCTGTCTCGCTGGATGCTTTCTTTCTTTACCGATCAAAAATCGACAGGATAGTCGAGATCGTGAATAATTTAAAGGATAAATTAGAGCGGCTGGCCAATAACATCCAAGCGTACGCTAGGGTGTTCCGCTTTTGCGGTTGCATACTTGTCACGCGATTTCGGTGCGGTATTGATAATGATAATGAAGTTGCGTCCGTTCGTATTCGCTGCTCGAAATTAATGATATTACTCGAGGAACTTTGCGAGACGTAGACCAATAATTTCGAATCGCATGATGCATTTCAATTGGCAGTCCGCGCCTGTTTCTGCCGGTGCTCGCTTTCCCATCCTGCGATCTACTTCTGTTATTCATAGTTGTTACAGCGAACTATAGACCGGTAATCGTATAGTCGCTTTTGCACAACCATGGAAAAGGGAGGAAAAAAGATGGTCCCTTTGTAAAATTCCCGTGCATTGGATAGTAAAGTGCCACTTATCGATGCATCTAGATTCGACAATGAATTGCTCTTTGTTCGAAGCGCTCGATAGCGAAGGAGATTCCGGTGCAAATTAGTACGGTGAAAATTAGCCGGCGGATATGTTTCTCGAGCATGCGTGCGATTCTACATACTCTTTGGTCTGATTCTCTTTCACGTTCTTTTTCTCGTTCCTCCCTCTTGAATAATCGAATCATCGGTGAAAAAAGAACCGGCAAAAAAAGAAACGAGTAGTCGTGACACAGGACACGCGCCACATGGATGGCCGCAGATTCGATGATTCAATAATGGTCGCTTTTTTTTCTTAAGAGTATCGTGTGGATATAACTTACTGCACAGGGCGATAGTAAAAAAAAAAAAGAATGTATATATGTAAAAATTCAGTTCGCCGTGTGTTTCTATACTTGTTAGTAACATACGTATTGTCTATAATAAACGATAATATCAGGTTGCTATTAATTGTTTCATATTTCGTATATCAATTGTGTTTGTTTGTAACTTAAATCTCGCGTTTCACTACATTCATAATTACCTCAATATAATGCAAACGACGCATGTTATGGAATATCGAAAGAGATAATGCGATTTGCTCGATGATCGGCAGATAAATATTTATTGTAGCTGATACGAGTGCGTAGCTTTCGCGTTAAATAATTTATTTTTTTTTAATAGTATCGTCATATAGTCATACCCTGTTTTAAGTTTTTCTTCATTTTCTGTACATCGGTACGATTTGAAACGCAGATGCCTGAAAAACGCAAAGCCGTAAACAGCCGGACAGAGAAAAACTGTAATAAAAAATTTGCTTTTCTTGGTAAGGTTCTAATAAAAGGCAAACGTTCGGCATCGTGAAATATAATCACTGAAAAGCGTCCTGGATCAATCCGGCATTATTAGCTCGAGCCAAAAGAGGGTCGTCCATTACTGGACAGCTGGACAATAGTAGTCCCGTACTCGATTTTTTTGTTTTCTATCCCTGGACAACGAAGATACGTTATGCAGCCAATTTCGTGTACTCGATATGTATCTTGTATGTATACGTATATACTGTACGGATATATATAGCAATTGATATCAGATAATTGAAGGAATATCTACTGCAACGAAAAGAATATTCCTTCAGGTGCAAAATACTTTTTTATTGCATTCTTTTTCTTGCAACTACCATTTTATTAAAACAGAAATTCACTTGAAATTTTCAGCGTGCTAACTTTTTATTATCCTATTATTTGTTGAGAGAAGTTAAATAGAAATTAAATTGGTATAAGAATTTTTTATAGTTTACCTTAAATTTGTAACAAAGAACTGTAAAACTCTTTAAATAATGCTTTTTTCAGCGTGTAATAAATGTGCATTTTTTAGAAATTGATGAAACTATACTGACCAACTTCTACTCTTAAATTTGCAAACATTTGAATCGATTTGAAAGTTGAACAGAGGCAAAATTCCATTTGAAAAATGTATAGAGTAATAATTTAATTGTTACATCGATAATCAGTGTGTATTAGAAATTATAATATAAAAATGAACCATTAAAATTCATTTTATTATTGGAAAAATTGTTAATATTTACAAATATTATAGAAATAGTAGAAAGTGAATATGATACATATATGAAATATAAAATTTCATTTCTTCTGTCTACGATATCAACTTGTAAGTTTATAGTCATATTCACTTTTAATTTCAATAATTACTACCTATAAAATAGACGAAGTACATATTTGTGAAATAGACATAGCATCATCACTTGGCACTGGCGTGATATGAGATTTCGTGTCTGAAATCCCAATTCTGTACTGAAATCAATATGTACTGAAATACCGATCGTTCCAAAAATTGTAAAAAATTGTAAAAATTGTCTTTAGTGCTTTAGAGCAGCGATTATAGAAATTATATATGTATTGCAACCTCATTTGTCCTTTCGGAGCTTTAGGGGTTTTGGTTTTTACATTCTACATCTACTTTTCTCTACTTGATAGTATAAATAGAAATTATGTATATTTAATGAGAAATATCTAATGCATTTTTGTGTCATATATCTCGGAGGTTTTACAGCCACCTTATCATTTTATTATCGTTCCCAACGTTACCGATTCAGCACAGAATGAGGTTACGACATTTATAGTCATTAAAATATATTGAAATGAAATTTTAATATGAAGTTACGTATTTAAGTATGGTATAAGATATCTTACAAGCGTAAACGGGATATAGAATTTTATATTTCTATTTATGATATTTGTTGATTGTGATATTTATACACTGTCATTATGAAATTGATTTTCGTGATCCATAGAAGTGGAAATACCATTTGAAATACTTCGAACATTTAGTTAGCATTAGATGAAGTGAAATAAACCATTAATTTAATTATTACGAATTAATGGTACAACTGCTTTAAATTAACAGTATAATTGTTAAAAATTAAGAACAGTTTTGATGATCCAGCATGATATTTTATAAGAATTTACCAACTTTTTTAACTTATTCTAAGCATATATAATTGTTCAACAATTCGTTTTACTTCCTGATATAAGATTATGTTAAAGTAATGGAAATTTATGATTAAGTAAAAAATGATAGTAAATTATTTCCAATTAAAAAATTTCTCTTTGCATAATAGTTCTGCTACCAATTTTCAAAGACTATTCCAAATTGTTAATATTAATAATTTCTAAAAATGACATTTGTTTTTGATAGAGATATCCATAAAATAGCATATTATTTTAATATATTTATTAATAATGAAATGAATAATTAATTAATACACTATAATCATATTTTTACTGATACCTTACTTTAGTTAATAATATCAGCTACACTTGTGTAATATAAAAGCTTTTCATTATGACAACATAATTTTATTTTCTATGAACATTGTCTTAAACATACCTTGTATTCTTCAATTTCATCAGTTTGACTATTTGAATACACTAAATTTGCGCGCTTTAGGAAAATCGGACGCTCCTATTGGCGCAGTGTGATGCGAAGTTAAATCGGGCGTTCCTATTGGTGCAGAATATTGTCAAATGAAATTGAGCGTTCCTATTGGTGCAATATATCGTCGAAACAAAGCGTGCGTCCTTATTGGTGCGAAGAATTGACAGTTGTAGTTTGGCGGTGAAACGTGACGTGGGGTGACACTCTACTGTTGAAAGTTACGGAGGGAAATTTCGTCGCGTTGCTTTGTCATTATTAGTACTTTCATTTCAACTTTATCAACATTTCTACACTTCTATCTGCTTCATTTAAACAGTACGTTTTCATTTAATTGCTTATGGATTGTCATTTTAATAAAATTGAGTAGTTTTTCGAAATTTTCTTTGTAACTGTCATCGTTGACCTAATATTTGACTCTTTTTATCATCGATAGCTCATATTACCGGCCTTTGAGGCAAAATTTGGATTCTATTTTTGCTTTATTGCATTATAATTTGTTTT